CTCAATATAGGCAACAGCCTTTCCCTGGGAACAGCTTTTGCTAGAGAAGTGTGTTCCAAGGTGGAATGTAGGGGTATTTTGTATCTTATGCCAGATTTTTTAGGACTTCAGGTCCTTGCTCAGGTGCTGAAGCCTTCCCTGAAAAGCTTAAAGTGATCTCTGCCTTCTCAATTTTTTTCAGAGCACTCCCTGTGACTCTCCCTTTTGCTGTTATATTTCTACCTTTTATCATAGTTATTGGTGGATGTCCCATGTCTCCCCATTAGGCAGAAAGCACCTGGAAGGTGGGGACTTTGTAGCCTTAGAGCTTAGCACCGGGACAGAAGGAATGATGAGCCTGGAGAAGACTGGGAATTAGAAGGTTTTCTGATAGAAAAGGATTGTAATTTACAGTTTTATTAGGAGTATGAGAAAGGCACAGGAGGAGACACATTCTGGGATCTTCCCAGGAAAGATTTCATCTTTTGTTAAAGTCCTTAGCTAAAATGGCTTAGTCATTACTGTAAATACCTCACTAGGGGATCATGTCTATTTGACAGAACTAAACAATCAGAAGCTGGATACTACTCACTGTGTGCTGCCCACAAATGCCTGGTGTGCAGCAGGTCTGGTTATATCCAGCTGTCGCCAGGAGATGGCAATATTTGCTCATCCTGAGCCTGTCAAGCTTAGCGCCTCTTCTACTTAGCAAACAACAGATTTTCCTCTCTTCGAGCATCATGGACTCCAGAGTGGGGGAAAGACACCAAAGATCATTTAAACCAACCCTCCTCTCTTTCCACATGAAGAAACTGAAGCTGAGGGGGGAAGCTAGGTGGGGCAGTGGATGGAGTGCTGGACTTGGAGTCAGGAAGACTTGAGTTCCAAATCCTACCTTGGACATGTTCTAGGTGACCCTGGACAAGCTACCTAATGTCTCTTGGCCTCATCTGTAAAATGGGGGTAATAATAGCACCTACCTCACAGGGCTGTGGTGAGGATTGACTGAGAGCATGTATGAAGCACTTTGTAAATGTTAAAAGTGATGTATAAATGCTATTATTATGATACAATATCAATTATATTATTATATACAATATATTAATTATTTTATATAATATAGTCTACTTTATATGCTATATTTATATATTATATATTACTTATTAATTTTTAAGATATGTATCAAATATATGTATATAGTACCTGTATAAATAAGGCCTTGGTAAAGTGCTTTACAACTTTAAAGCTCTATGTAAATGCTAGCTATTATATTATTAGTCACTCAATCAACATTTATGCAGGCACTGTGCTAAGCACTTGGGAAAGAGAGAGCCAGAGAGAGAGAGAGAGAGAGAGAGAGAGAGAGAGAGAGAGAGAGAGAGAGGGAAGAGACAGAAACAGAGAGACAGAGAGAGCCAGAGAGCCAGAGGGATCCAGAGAGAGAGAGACAGACAGAGAGACATAGACAGAGAGAGAAGAGAGAGAGAGAGAGAGAGAGAGAGAGAGAGAGAAGGAGGGAGGGAGAGAGAGAGAGAGGAGAGAGAGAGAGAGAGAGAGAGAGAGAGAGAGAGAGAGAGAGAGAGAGACGGGGGGGGCGGGCGGAGATTGTCCTAGGATAAGAAGTCGTAGAGGGGAAGGAGAAGAAGGAGAAAGAGAATTAAAGAGAACATCTGACGGCAGCTAGGTGGTGCAGTGGATAGAGCACCAGCCCTGAAGTCAGGAGGACCTGAGTTCAAATTCGGCATCAGACCAAACACTTGACACATACTAGCTGTGTGAACCTGGGCAAGTCACTTAACCCCAACTGCTGTAAAAAAAGAAAGAAAGAAAGAAAGAAAGAAAGAAAGAAAGAAAGAAAGAAAGAAAGAAAGAAAGAAAAAGGGAACATCTGTCCATTTATGAAAAAAGTGTATTGAGATTGAACAAACTAAGCTTTGATGGGGGTGGAGGGTAGAAAAAAAAACAGAGCCAAGTATGAACCATATCATTCATTCCTTTCCGCAGGAAAAGTGACAGAGAGCTTCCCATTCTGGCCACCAGGTGGCACTATCAGCTCAGGACAGCTAGATCATTTCCCTTGGTGAGTGGACGTAAGTGGAGGAGAGCTAGCCTTTATAATCTAAGGGCATTTATTGTTGCTGCTCATCCTAATAGGATCCTATATAAAAATGAATATATGCATCTAAATAAATATAGAAATAAAATCCTAACGATTCTGTTTCCCGAGGCCAGCACGGAAACATAATCCAGGAGTGAGGAGCACGAAAGGAGTACCCCACCCCCTTCCGTCTCAGCCAAATCAACCTTTTAAGATAAATTCAGACTTCTGAAGGGAAACCTGGGCTCTCAGGCCCCATGGGGAGACCTTGGGATAGCTGGAAACTGCTACAGGGGGATTTTCACTGGAGGAGGGGGCAGGGTGGCACTGCCAGAGGGGAGCTTGCCTTGGGTTGCCTTTGGGAGGAAGCTAGGCAGTAGCTTCCTATTTTAACTAATTGCTAAACTATTGCTAAATATATACTCAGCTTAGTCATTTCTACCTACTTACTGAAAGGATGTAGGTGCTGTCCGAGTCCTCTAAATTTTGGCACTCTGGTGTAAAGCCCTCATTGTCATATCCTAGTTATCACTCTGAGTGTTCCTACTTGGGTGACTGTCTCTTTTATTTCACACAAAAGATAGCTAACTTAAAGAATTTAGTGGTGGTAGAGGCAGAAAATAGAAATTCAATTCTATTCAGCAGGTAAGCATTTACTAAGTCTCCTCTATGTGTATGATCCTGTGCCAGGCCTTAAGAACTTATGGGCACACAGTAGGGGGAGGAACTTGTATGCAAATAATTTTGATATAAGGGAGAATGAAATAAGTAGTAATAGCTAACATTTATATGGTGCTTACTATGTGTCACATCCTTTGTAATTATCATCTTATGTGATCCCTACAACAATGCGGGGAGGTAGGTGCTATTATTATCCTATTAGCCTCATTTTACAGATAAGAAAACTGAGGTGGACAGAGACTAAGTGACTTGCCCAGGGTCATACAGCTAGTATGTGAGGCAGATTTGAACTTTGGTCTTCCTGTCTCTAGGCCCGGTACTCTATCTGCTGTGCCACCGGCTGCCTCAAAGTAGAAAGTACAAAGAAGAGGTTCAGATAAAGTGTTGTATGAAATTAGAGGAGAGGGTGAGATCACTCTCACCTAGGAGGGTCAAGGAAGGCTTCATGGAAAAGGTGGCACTTGAGTTAGACCTTAAAAGAAAAATTTCACAGATGACATTTGCAAAAAAGGCTTATTAATGGAAACTAGGATGTTTGGGTGAAGGATGGTGAAAAATGCCTTAATCTTGGAAGTTGAAGTCAAGGATGACAAAGGATGCCCTTCCAAAGCACATTGTTTGGTGCCTTTTTTGTGGGGACAGAAGAAAGCTGGGTTGGGTGGACCTGAATCTGAGCCAATATGGCCTAAGGAGTCTGAACAGATGGAGGTTCTATTAGGCTTGTAGCAAGACATACAAGTGGCTGAGGGGTCTTGGTTGGGGTCGGGTTGTTCTGGTCTGTACAAGTAGCTAACATCTGTGCCTGGCTATGGTCTTGAATAAACAACTGCCAGTCTTCCACCCTGATAATTTTTGATGCAGGTCTAAAAGGGTCCAGAAAAGGTTTGGGATATCCTATAGGAGAGAAGAGGGGGGTAAAGTGAGCCCAATGAGATGATAGTAGTCAATAATCAACAGGCCATAAACATTCATTAAGTGCCTACTATGGGCCAGTCACTGTGCTAAGCACTGGGGGAATGCAAATTTTAAAAAGAAAGTCAGTTCCTGCCCTCAAGGAGCTTATAATTTAATGGAGGAAGACAACACAAAAGGAAGCTGAAAAAGGTCGGGGGGGGAAAGGAAAAATGTAATGAGCTCTTATGGGATGATGAGGTTATCCCCATAATAACCTTCCTGGGGCATGGTGGAGGAGTCCCAAAGTAGTGCAGCCAGGTGAGAAATGAAGAGGCAACATTATCACCACCACTATCACCACCACCACCATCATCATCATCATCACCACCACCATCATCATCACCACCACCACCACCACCACCATCATCATCATCATCATCATCATCATCATCATCATCATCATCATCATCTGCAATTATATAGCGCTTTGATGTTTTCAAAGTACTTTATAAAATATTACCTCATTTTATCCTCACAACAACCCTGAGAGATAAGGATGTACAGAATAGGAGGGAGATACTATTATTATTCCCATTTTACAGATAAGGAAACTGAGTCAAACAGAGGTTAAATGACTTACCCATAGGCACATAGCTAGCAAATATCTGAGGCTGGATGTGAACTCAACTTCCAGTCATTGCACTACCTAGCTCCTCTAGGTGAAGGTAGCAGCTGTCTGCCCCAGGGAGGTTAAGATCAGAGGGTAGAGTCAAGTCAATGCCACATTCCCTTAAAGGAGTTCTCTCTCCTCTCTCTCTCTCTCTCTCTCTCTCTCTCTCTCCTCTCTCTCTCTCTCTCTCCACCCCCCTTCTGATTCTGCAATTAGACAAAGCAAAAAAAAATCATTAAAAAATATCTTCATTAGGACAAAAATCAGAGACCATCATAATCACTCCACTAAGTGTAAATCCTGGCCAGGATCGAATCAATAAAAAAAAAAATACTCTTGATTGAATTTCTTCCTGCTACTCCCCTCAGAATTCTCAGAATTCTATCTCTGGCCCCTCTCCCCATCAAGAAGGGATCGATTGGCTGCAGAAAAGGCCCTCTAACTGCCGAATGGGACCATCAGTGAATTCCTTCCGAAGTCAGTCCTTCAGAAAATGCCATTTTGGGGCCTAGCCACAAGTCTCTTTCACCAGTGACTGAAGGTGTCGTTCTTCTTCCTATTGAAACTTTTCTTCCCATTATTTGGAAGGTGTGTAAGGCTCTAGAAGGATGCTTATGAATTAATTGGGGCAGGGACCCTCTCCCCACTCCAGTCCCCAAGAATGGCTTTTGTCCAACAAACTGCAAAGGGTGATCTTTAATGCCAAAAAAGTTGCAGTGAGATTGGCAGGGAGATAGAAAGACTTGATTTTTTAAAAATTTAAATACCTTTTGTCTGTTCAAACTGTACAGAAAACAAAATATTAACGAGTAAGTATGTTAGTCCATTTACATTTGTTTTCAAAACATAAAAATAAGCCAACAAAATGCACTTATTGAGCACCGAGGAGAAGTGGCCTTTGACCTGACCCTGCTGAATTTCACTGAGCTGTCTCAGTCCTACCCCTGAAGGAGGGGAGCCTCTGCCTCAGTTTCCCCAAGGCTATGCTGATTTAGGAATGGCACCCCTCAAATCTGGAAAGAGGCTCTACTGGCCCCATGCTCCTTACTGCCTTGCTTTAGCTCCGTTGCCCTAAGAGAAGTCAGGGTTGTAGTGGCAGTGAGGGAACAGGCATTACATAGTAGATACCACTGGCAGGTTGAGAAGAAGTGTCTGGGGAAAAAGAGGAAGAAAGGGATGCTGAAGTGTGGTGATGGAAGAAGTGTAAAAGGGGAGAGATGGAAAAAAGAATGGAAAATTAACAGGGAGTGGCAATATGGGTAGGAAAGCAAAGGGCCTCCAGTGCCATAGAGTGCCAACACAGAGGGGAATTAGTTTCTTCTAGAAAACTTCTGCACACATATCCTGGGCCACAGACACATATGAGGAGAGGAGACTTTTTGGTTGTTGCTTGGATGGAGCCAGAGCAAGTGTGTCCAGACAAAGGAGACCAAAAAAAATTCTGCACACACAGGGAGACCTGCTCATGGTGACTAGGTAACTTGTTAGGTCCAAAGTCCAGGGTGAGGTCTCACATTCTACACCCCCGCCCCCATTATGTCTGTCACTATTATTACGTTCCACGCTTTTCCCTCTGGTCATCCAATTTTGCAATGGCTGGGGTCTGGGAGTAGGAGATGGAAGGGTGACTGGAGCTAGCTGGGGAGGGGGCAGGGCATCTCGAATATGAGAAGCCTTGTCAGGACCATTACTTGTCAAATATCTTTAAAATGGCAGGTAATCGCCAAATTGGTCTCTAGGTCAGAGGCAATTCTTCTTTAAGGGGTGAGGGGTGCCAGAAAAATATTAGGGTATTTTCCAAGTTTGGGCTACTTACTTTGCAGGGGAAAAAATGAACGATACTGTGATAGACGTATGACCGCATGACTTACAAACTCACAAGTAGCTTCCACTGGCAGGCTGTCCCCCTACTTCTCAAGCTTCCACAAAAGGCTACCACTGTTGGGTTCTCCCCAAGGAGATTGTCTCTTCTTTCTTCTGTTTCCTATCAGCCACTCTCATTGGGCTTACTCCTCTGTCTCCTCTGAGTCTCCCCAAGCTTGGGTGGGGAAACCACCCAACTCTAGACTAGAGATGAGAAAAACTTCCTTCTGCTCTCTGTACTCTGCTGTAGAACCTTTCAGATCCATTCTGTGCCTCAGAGAACACAGGCTGGGTGGGACAGCAGTGGGATGAAGTCTCCATGCCCTCTGCCAGGGCATTTTTGATTCTCCAGGTTGGAGTTTGGAATATCTTTTCTCATAGAAACAATGTTCTAGTTGTATACAACTGAATGGTGGGTAGGTTGTAATGTAGAGGACCATGGCTGAGCTAGAGCCCAACCTCATTGGAGGCAGCAAGTATGTTATCATAGACTGGGAGTCAGTTACAGACTTGAGTTTGAAACCTGATTCTAAGCTAACTAGCTGTATGACCTTGGACAATTACTCCTCAGGGAGCCTCAGTTTTCTCATCTACAAAAGGGATACCCCTTATATTCTTTGTGGTTGTTAAGTACAGTGCTTTGTAAATCTTAAAGCACTAAAGAAACTTCCAAATTATGTAAAACATTCCCTGGAGCTCGCTTCACCAACTTTTTATGGCTGAGTAGGTAAGTTCTAGGGGAGTCAGTCACTTAATGAACAAAGAGGTTAAATGACTTATTCAGGGTCACCCATCTAGTATCAAAGGCAGGATTTGAAATGAGATATTCCCTACTCCGCATTTGGTAAAGCTATCCCCTATGGCTGGCTGCCTCTATATTATTATGACATGTTGGATTAAATATGCTTTTAAGCGATCTAGGCACTGAACAACCATTTATAATGTTGCTTCCATGGGGAAATAGTTTCCCATTTAAAAAAAAAACTGACTTAGAATTCACACTCCTTTTTGAAGCACACTCTTTATTAACTGGGATTGACTGTTCTTCACATTTTCCATAAGGATGATGGCCTACTTCCCAAAGTTCTTTGGCCTTGGATGGACTGGGGATATATCTTGAATGTATGCTTACTATGGATGTATGCTTATATATAACCATCTCTGCAAACATCTGCACCATTCTATTGTTTCTTTCTCGTACCTTACTCTCCAAATTCAATATACAACTCTTTTTCCATTAGAGAAATTGGTGTATTCACTTAGGTGGGTAGGGACTTTGTTTTGAGTTGGTGAGATGTTAAAATTTCACCCTTGCAATGATCATCAGCATTGTCATATTTGGCAATTCACCAACTGTCAGCTATGAGCAAGGTTCTATGTTGGGTCTTGTGATAAACAGGGAGAAAAGCCTGCCAGGCTTCATTCTGAGGTTTTCCAGCATAGTGGCAGAATTACTGACCCCTTGGCAGTGTGGATCTTTAGAAAATGCATCTGGGCAACATCCACTGGCTTTCACTGATTTCTTTCAGTATCATCATTTCTACTCTTTTAAGCCTTTGCTTCCTACTTTCAATATAACATGTGCCCACCCAAGTGGGTTCCCATCAATCTTATGGCCGTTGGATTCAACATGCAAATTCCAGCATTGACTCCTTAGCTTCTTTCATCTTGTATGACATACGTCGATTTCCATGTCTATTTTACATCTCTCCACCTGAACAACCATGACCACACCGGTATGCAACATGATAATAGCACATTCAACCTACCCATTAGTTTCCCACAGCTTCCCGGCCATTAACATCCACCTGGCTTTGCAGCTCTCTTAGTTGTTGCTAGGAGGAAAGCCCTAAGCCCCGAGGGTGAGAACTAAACACTAAATGGGGTTTGGAAGTATAACACTTGTATCCCAGGTAAGGAGAGCTGAAATGCAATCTGATCCATCCTGTTAACAACTTTAGCCGTTAACCCAGTGTGAGGGTCAAGAACACTGGGACATGGCATGTAAATGTGAATCAATATTTGTATAATATGTGAAGACCCCAAGAGGTCTTGGACTGCCCAGTGAGAAGTGTCATAGGCACTTCTAGGTGTAAAGGTTAACTGTCCCTGCAGGGAGGGAGAGACCTAAAAATCCTCCCTGCCCCGCAACTCATGTGCCCGATGCCGGTTACAACTTGACCTATATCTAGAAGTTTGAGCAGTGGAGATGGTGGTCAGCAAAGCATTCCTGACATTTTAAAAATGTTTGTACACATGCACAGAGCTGGGCATGTCTTTACAAGAGACTATACAGATGTGAACTGGTGAATATAGGTGTGTAATGTACTTGTTTGCCTGCCTATGTACCTGGTTGTGTGTATGCTGCTTTTCTTTCTTCTTTTTTTGGTACATTCACAAGCCTTACAAAAGCTTGTGCATAACAATGCATTTGTGCCCTTGGGTAGAGTTACTCATACCCAAGTATGGCTATTTGCCTTTTTAAATGTAGGTATGAGCATGTTCATGCACCTACTGTGATAGGTATTATTAAATATTGCTCATCTCTTGAGCATCCACAGTGGCTAAGCCAGATTGACTAAAATACCCCTTGCATGTGTAAATATAGGCCTGCTTGCCATGAGGGCTCTCAGGCTGTTTTGTTTGCTAGCTTTGGAGTTTCTTAGTTTAGAAGTCACTCTGGGGACCTAGGTAGCCATGTCATGGATGTCTTCTTCCCTGAACAATGGTGGCTGGATCTAAGATCCCAAGTCTCAGGAGGAGGATGCCTTCATTTCCTTCCTCCTGTTAGACAGGTAGTGATGGCCTCTTCTCTAGCTGAAGAAGCTTGGGTTGAGCAGAGATCCATAGATCCTCTTCACCCTTCTTCTTCTTTTTCTTCTTGTTCTTTTCTGAAGGCCCATTGTTCTTTCCTGGCCTACTCCAGCAGCAATGGCAGCAAATGAAGAGGAGGACTAAAAGGACCAGTATGGGCAGCCCCAGGAGTATCCCCAGGCAAATGGTGTTGAAGAGACCCTGCTCATGTTTGGTATAGATGAGGCTCCAGAGGTTGTTGAAGAACGAGCTGATTTTCTCCATGGGAGTTGACTAAATCAGGGCAGATTAAATCTTCCTGCTCACCACCTTTTCACTGGCTCAGCTTGACTCTCTCTCTCTTTAACGTGTGGTCCTTCCTCTGGCTCTTGTCTTTACAGAAGATGAGAAAGATCCCGAAATCCCAGCAGATAGAGCCTGAAGAGACAGAAGATGACAGCAGCTTACAATCCTATCAGTGAGATCATGGGCTTTAAGCCTGGGTAGGCTGGACCTCTTGTTTACCATTGTGTATTTAGGTCTGGAAAAAGAGGGCGGCATTAGAAATAAGCTCAATGGGATTTATGGGGGAACAGTGACCAGAGAGAGGGAGATTGTACCGCAACAGAAAAAATCAGCATCATAATAACAAATAGAAAGTACACTCCTTGAGGGCAGGGACCAGTTCACTTTTGTCCTTGTAGCCCTGAAACTTAGCATAGTGCCTGGAGAATGTTGGCACTTTATAAATACTTGTCGATGGAAATGTCATAGATGCAACCCTTTATAGTTACATAGAAGGCAGCATGGCTAGGGAGTTATGCTATGATCTATGCTTCTATGATAAGAAGTCGACTGGCTTTCTATTTCTTATTATTATATTAACTCATTTTGGGCTAGTGGTGCAAGATTGATGGAATCTACCTCTTGTTGGCTCTTCCCCAAAATCTTTTCCAAACTCTTGGCCCTAGAGCAAGGAAGACACAGGTTCAAGTCCTCTTTCTGACACACATTAATGATGTGTGACCCTGGGCAAGTCACTTGACCTCCACTGTCCCAGGAAACTCTCCAAGATTATAAACTGTAGATAAGGTGCTGACCTGCATCGATAGAGGGAGTTTCCTACTCCAATAGTTCCTTTCCCTATCCATAGGGTTATAAAGAGCTTCACATACAACTCATTTGATCCTCCCAACAATCCCAACTCCAAAGATGACCCTCTATGCTCTATGCCGAGTTGCCTGTCATATAAATAGATGAACAAGAACAAATAATATGTAAATGCTTGTGCATATATGTGTACAGACTTTAGTGATCTTAAGTTTCACAGGGATAGGGTCTGCCCACCAGATCACAGTTCCTTTATGAGTTAGTATTAGACACAGCATGATGAAATCACTGGCCCAAGGATTCACAGAGAGCACTGAAACCTGGAGAATTTCTTGGTCCAGGCTGCTTTCTCTGACACCCCACAGGCAGTGAGTGGCTGACTCTCCCAGCTCTGAAAGATGCTATAATTCTGTGATAAGGGGTGGATTGGCCCCCACCTTCCTTTCTACCCCTTGTGATTATATTTAATTCATTTTTGGATAGGAGCATAAGATTTATAGAATTTCACCATTTCTGACTACTCCCCATAATCACTTCAAAATTCACACAAGCGTCATGGAAAAGAGGCCAGGAAGAGATTTATTTCCCATCATTCTCCCAGATTCTAAGCATTACAGCAATAGATGCCTCAAAAAGACCCAGAGACACATAAAATAAACAGCAACCCAAGTCCTATTTGAGCATAAGTTTATAAAAACTACGTGACTACTCTAGCTTAAAATCAAATTCATCATTCAACAGAAAAAAAAGGTTGTGAAAATTCACATGCCAAGCTCAGGAGACTGTGTGAACACTTCTTGGGCCTGGAGAACAGAGCAAACACACAAAATCATTATACGGCCTCCCTTTGACTTCAACTAGTCCTGTTGACTTTAAGGGAGCTCTGACAATATTTCCAGTCTTCTTTCAAAGGAAACTCAGCACCATTTTCTTTGGATTAGCACCTTGTTTCTTCAGAGGCAGTGTGGCATAATGGATAGAGAGCTCGCCTGAAAGATCTGAATTCTGTCTCTCACAGATTCTGGCTGTGTGACCTTGGAGAAATCACTTAATCTCTCAGTGTCCTAGGAAACTCTTTAAGTCTGTAGGTTGCAGAGAAGATGCTGACCTGCACTGGTAAAGGGTGTCTAATTGTCTCTCTCTTTCTCTCTCTGTGTGTCTCTCTGTGTGACTCTGTGTCTCTCTCTGTCTCTGTTTCTCACTGGAGTTCCTTGTATCAATGAAATCACAGACCCAAATCTTATCCCTTCTTCCTTCTCATCCATTCATTCAATTAATCAATCATTTAACAATAAGTATCTTTTAAAGTCCTATTGTGTACAGGGGAAGTACAGTTATGGATAAGCTCCTGGACTTGCCTCAAGGATCTTAAATTTTACAAACTACCATATAAAAGAAACATAGGTTCATAAGACCTAGAGTTGGAAGAAACTTTTAGACCATCTAGTTCCTGGAAGAGATTGAGCCCTAGAGATACAAAGATGGTACTACATAGATGGTAAGGTAGAGTTCAGACTCAGGCTTAGATCAGTCTGCAGCCTTCTGACTCTGGAGTCTGGCATCTAGTAACAGGGATTGAGGATTCCAGGTTGCTGAGGGTTTCTTGTTGGAGATGTTTGGAATCTTTAGGCATGGCAGGAAGCAGCTGAGAATGCTATGGTCTGACCCATGGAAGAGGCAGGAGGAGATGCAGTTGCTGTGTGAAAAGTTATTGAGCCTGGCAGCTAACAGTCTTTCTTCCCAGGTCTCCTGAATATAAATCTAGTGCATGTTTTCAAGAGAACTACTGATTTTTCTTTTTCACCTTTTTTTGTTCCTCTCCTGCTTTTGCTTCATACCTAAATCTAAAGCTATTGTTTAGACTCCCTAGAGGCTATTCTAATTTTTTTTTTTAGGCAATTGGGATTAAGTGACTTGCCCAGGGTCACACAGCTAGCAAGTGTTTGGTCTGAGGCCAGATTTGAACTCAGATCCTCCTGACTTCAGGGTTGGTACTCTACCACTGCACCACTTAGCTGCCCCAGACTCCCTAGAGGCTAAAAGGCTTCTGCTCAGGCCTGGTATACTAATACTTGAGACCTTTTTTCCAAGCTGACACTCTTCCCAGATATCCTGGGGCTCCCAAAATTCCTCCATAAGGATTTCTAAGCAGGAGGAGATGTGAAAGCAATTTGATCATGTTTTTAAAGGTGCTGTTCAAACAAAAGCTAATATTATCTCAAAGGGCAAAAGATCCATGTCAGGACGAACAGTTATGAGTAGATAGATAGCATCATGAAGACCCAGTTCAAATCCTTCCTCTAACACAGATTGGCTGTGTGACCCTGGATTAGTCATTTAACTTCCAAGTGTCCCCAGAAAACTCTCCAAGAGTAGAAGCTGCAAAGCAGTTGTTGGAGGGAATGTCCTAAGAGCCTCCTACATAAGACAAAAATCACAGGTCCATGTGATAAAATGCTAACTTTAAAATTAAATTGGAAAAAAATTAAATTGAATTTAAAAGAAGGAGGTATTTAGGCAGCTCAATAAACTTAAACAGATGATTGCATCTGAGTTCTTAGGTCACTTGCATATGCCCTCTCTGATACCTTTCAGTCTGGGCCCCAAACACAAGCCCCTTCCCCCCAGTATTTACTATGGCCTTTAAATAAACATGTTTCTTTTTGAGATTATACTGAGTCAATAATTCACTTTGACACCAGGGAAGTTACTTTATTGGACTGCAAAGAGAGCATTCATTAGCATTTGTGGGAAAGGTGGCCTATATTTCTGTTGAGGCTAACTATTCTCCTCTAGGTCTATTAAGACCTCTACTAATCTCTAGAACTGCATTCCCATTTATGAGCCGCTGCACTATCATTTCAAGGAAACAGCTGAATTCCTCTTTAGTGGCACCTGTGAAAATTCTAGGCTCTTCCCCAGAAAGATTTAGCTCAGGGGCCTCCCTTCAGTCCATTGGCCCCAATGGAGGGGGAACAGAAGGACCCTTCCTGTGGTGACTTACCCAAGACTGCAGACTGCTGTGGATCTATACCTGGGTGACTTACCCAAGACTGCAGACTGTTGTGGATCTATACCTGTAAGTGCAACAGAAGACGGACAGTAATTCTGGCTAGAGAGAAGTGAATTTATTTTGGATTGAGGACAGCAGTAGGTATTAGCTAAAGACTGCTTGCTGAGAGATAGAGGAGGAGGACTGCAGTGATAACTTTTTTTTGCTTTTTGCATTTCCTTTCCATTTCCTATTACCATGCTACCTCTTTCTCTGCCTACTCCTGCTCTTTTCCTTATCCCCTCCCAGAATTAAAAAAAAATCACACATCACCTACCTATTTAAGATGAATTGTGACTCACGGGGGACCTGGTCATTTAAGACCAGTCTACTGCCTTATGACAGTGACTCTGGCTTCTGGTATCTAGCAATGCCAACTGAGAATTTCAGTTTGGTGAAGGTTTGTTGCAGAAGATATTTGGAATCTTTGTGGGGCAGCTGAGAACGCCATGGTCTGACCCAGGGAAGGGAGGGAAGGAGATGCAGTTGCTCAGTGAAATGCTATTAAGCCTGGCAGCAAAAAAGTTTCCTTATTTCCTAGCCAGTCCTCTCCCCATACACCCCTTCATTTGCCCCAGGTCACAGAGTTGCTATGCAATGGAACCTAGATTCAAATTCAGGTCTTCTGAGTACAAGGCCCCTTCTCTTTTAGCATGCTATCCTGATGTCTTCCAAACAATACATTCTCTCAGCAGTCCTGGTCTTTCCTGGAGTCACTGTGTGATCTTGGGGTTCATTATATAGATCTTGAATCACATACAAATCAACCTTTTCTTCTCTCTCTCTCTCTCTCTCTCCTCTCTCTCTCTCTCTCTCTCTCTCGTGTGTGTGTGTGTGTGTGTGTGTGTGTGGTGTGTGATACCCAACACTAGGAAGTTCCCTAATTGGTGAGTTCTTTTGCCATGGCAACCCATGATACAAAGAAAGATATAAAATGGTTCTTGGTCCACTTTGGCAAGGCTAGTGACAGAGTGGGGGTGAAGGGGTCAATGGGTTCCAAGAAGCACACAGTTTTTAAACCATCCATAAACATTAACTGAGCTGCTGATATTCTAAATATGAGAGCTTTGTACAGCTGTGACTCAGGGAACTCTACAGTCTCTGAAGAATGGAAGTTGTGGATTACTCAAAGTGCAAAGAGGAAGCATGAGGTAGGCGTGAGCAAGGTGCGAGATATTACACATGTAATAAGGGTTTGAAACTGAACGGCATGCTATGATTGGTAGTTTCAACCAGCATTCCCATTTAGCCCTGAGAGTGATTCAGAACTGTCTTC